ATATTTTATTATTATAAAAGTCGTAAGGCATAAAAACAATATTTTTTTAGAAAGCTTGTTGTATTCGCGTATGTTTCAAGAGTTTCATATAGATTCGTTTTATTAGATCATATTTTATCATTATAAAAGTCGTAAGGAATAAAAACAACATTTCATTTGCCAAATTTAATTTCCAGTCGTGAATGATGTTTTCTGTTGTTTTTTTCAGAGCTGCTACAAGACAGTCAGAGTTCCGTGAAAACAACCTGGTTGTATAATGAAGGGATAACCTGCATTTTTTTATTCCATAAAACAATTGAATTTCTGTATGTATTTGTTGTTATAAAATCTTGGAAACAATTAAAAAACATTGCATTTTATGAAACTGGCAATAAAGATTAAGTATCTGAGCTGCGAAAGTTTCTATGTTATGTATTAATAATGTAAAAATGTAAAGACGTTGAATAGTGTTGGAATGATATACAACTTTGCCTAAGTAACTGTTACGACAGCGGTAATCACGTGACGCGGGTAACACGTATGAGTATCAAGAAAGATCAAGGACCTGTCAAACGTCCTAGCGTTTGCTAGATACGCCCTCTATTTTGTATATATTAGACCGGCGAGAAGTGACGGCATATATAAATAGATAATTGCAGACAGACAGAGACAGACAATTGAATCAAGCACGGTTCTAACGTGCGTGAATCGTTGTGAATTATAGCGTGTGTTTAAGTTAAAGTAACTGTGGAAATTAAGTGTATTGCAAAATTGTATTGAGAAAAAACAAACTAGTTTTATTTAAGAAAGGACTTGTGTCGCTAAAGTTTCATCCGAAAGAAATTATACTGGAAATTAACAAACGACCAGAGACGTATTATAACGTTTTTTGTTGTAGTTTTTCATAGTTGATGTACTTATTGTTGCGTCATCGAGATCAAGTGACTATTCTCACGCCCTCTACTTTCTAGAACTATCCTGTACTTTGGCGAATGCTCTAGCAATTACTAGATATAGGGTAGTCTGGTATATAAAAGAGGGTGACAACGTGACGGTAATGTAATGTGTGTGTGTAGATAGTGAGTAATTGAACTGCAGTCAGAAGATTGTTGACGTTCGTTGATATTGCGTTTGTTATAGAGCGATTGTTGAAAATAAGTGTATCGTAAAGTTGTATTCGGAAAGAATAAACCAGTTTTATTAAGCAAGGACTTGTGTCGCTAAAGTTTCGTCGGATCGAAGTTACGGAAAGTTAATTAACAAACGGAGACGTAATAACAGTATTGTTGTTTCAGAGTGTTTATTGATCATGTGATTGTCAAAGTTAATCATTGTTAAAGGGTTTTATTTCGTAATGTATAACTATTTGTGAGTATCTTTATTAAAGAGTTGAGTCGTCTGCTTTGCATATATATATATG